GCGAAAATGGATTGTTGACACGAAGGTGGCAGAAGAAGGAGGCTTGTAAGAATCTTCCGGGGCAAAGTAAGCAAGTTCTCAGAGGAAGTGGAAGGATAAAGAAGCTCGCAGAACGCAACGCTCAGAGGAAGCAACGTGACGGTCTTGATGGATTTAATAATATCAAACTCCCCGTATGGCCCGTGCAACCAAGCGTGCAGCAAATTAATTTCTTTGCGTTATTAGCCATCACTATAAGTGGCCTTGGCAGCCCCACCAATCCGATAGAAATTCTGCGTTGTCTTGTGCTCGCGTGTTGAGGGGGTGGGAAGATACTGATATGAAGGTGATCATTTTCCGTGATTAGACCCACTGGTATCCAAGTCACTGCCAGGATGAAATGGTTGTATTGATAGGCTATGAAATGTCTTAATTCAAAGTATAGATTCTACTCATACAAGTGAAAGCAGGTATGCTCATCCTATCAAACTGCGGGCATGCGACGACATTCACCTTGACGCCAAACAAGGACAGCTACCGCCGGGTGTGGACGACGCATGCATTCCATGTCTATGGGTAGAATATAGATGCATATCATGGCAAAAGAACACTAGCGTTATGCTGGTTCACTGATCCACTGTTTCGCTGGTTGCCATGACAGTGCCAATGTTCTGTTTGTTTACTTCTGTTACAATCTGTGAGACGCATGGTAAACACATCGACAAATGTATTTGATTGCTGGTATTGGGGAACCTAATGTTCTGTTCCCTGCCACTTCCAATGCATTTTCTTGCGTTCTTTGTTTACAAAGCGCGGTATTTATAATGATCCATAGCACAACCTCTCTTATTCCTGCGCTCGTCGGACACTGGCAATATCAGCTGGCGGGGTAAACACCGGAGGGGTGGGGGGGGGGGGAGCATCATTGGCTTTCATATTGGTGGAATCCCGTGGGACCCAGCACGGGGCAATGACGTCACTGGTGCCCTAATGTGTCACTGGCTCTGTCGCTGCTGGTCCCATCGTCGTGGCGTAGCGGAAACGTAGGATAGATGCAGCATTCAAAGTTATTGGAGGCAAGGCAATCAACAGCCATTCAAAGTTGGATTAGAAGCATCAATCAAAGTCGTACTGGTTTGGTTAGCGTTTCTTTCATCCGCAAGCAGGGGCATCAGCTTTCGAAATGATTGGGGATAAGCCCAATGTCCAGGCCCAGGCCCAGGCGAAATGCATATTTTGTGGTAGGGTGTGACATCCCCCCCCCCCCATAAATAGTTCAGCGACATTACGCCCTTGCGAGGACCTGCGAACCTAACCTCGCCCTAAATACGTTTCTCACCGGCTCGCAGGCCACTTTGTTTCGATGTACGGTAATTTTCAGGTTGGAGGCACTGAATAAGCCTTTATTTTAGTAGTGCGGCCATCAAGTGCAGCTAACGTCCGATGAAGGTCCCTGTGATATTTATATTTTCTTAAGATTTTGTAGCACTGGGGTCGGAAGAGTTGTGAGCGGGGGGGGGGCAGCCAAATATGGTGGATAGCTGTCACAGAATGGCCGTCACAAAGGGAGCTAACCGATCCCCTTCTACAACGTCGTAATCTTCAAACTCCGCTGTCGCTGCTGTTTGATTGCTATGCAGAAGCACAGTCAAGGAGCGCCCCATTCGGCCCACGGGTCTTCATTTTTACCATAGTGCTCTTAAAAGGAAATTTGAAATTGGCGTGATGCATTCTCGCCGAGGTCTGCCCACTCTCTTAAGAAAGTCTTGATTGCGCCCCTACTGTTGATACGAACTAATGGCGTGTGGGCGCGGAGACTAGCTAAGCACAGATGAAAAAGAGCCACTGTGTCCTATCATGGGGCCACAGTGCCTGACAAGGGATCCTGTGTCAGCAAGGGAATCCAAGTCGGCAGTGGGTCCGTTTGCTAGAAAGGGACAATGACGGGACCTGGAATGTCAGCGGGCCTCTTGCATTGTTTGAGGCCCCCGACAATGCAGGGAAATAGGAAATAGGGTAATAAAAGGTCCCGCATTGGTCGAGACATTGGAATGGCAATGTATCGGAAAGTGGGCCCAATAACCAACAAACCACCTTGCTCCCTTTTGTCTAAGGGCCTGATTTTGTTAAAAGTGATCCTCGTGCCACTTAGTAGATACATTGTACCTGTTAGAAATTATTGTGCGTCACCGAAAGCCTCTACTCCGGGTCGGACTACATGCTCACATCAGAGGACGGCCGGCGTCATAAAGGAGACCAAGGTATCCTCAGAGGGCCTCTGAATCGATCATGAGGCCCGGCGTCCGTGTCACCAGAATGTCGCACTATAACTGTTCTGTGGCCCCCAGTGTTTCACTGACGGCGCCGCCTGAAAGGAACAAGCATATGGAGTTCATTCCACGACCCCTTCATTAACACGTCCGTTGGAATAACGGAACAAAAAAATAAACGAAAGGAAAAGAAACTTTGGGGCCTGCTCAAAACTTGGGGAATTTCACCAGGGGCCTTTCACAAATCCCTGTGTCAATCCCACCAAGATTCTGGGTGTGACCCTGGGCACGCGCACATGGGTGACACAGAAACCGGCGTCGGCAGAAGCGGGGACAGCGAGAACGGCGAACCCAACTGCGTGAGCCTGACTGCATGCGTTGACACAAACGTCCCGCTTAGTATGGGCGACGTAATTTGGGTTAAGTTTACCGAATTTACACCAAACTAATCGTTTGATAATGTGGGGCAATTTTAGGGACGGACGGAAGAAAGGGTAGCTTTTCCCAGCAAATTCGGTACGCAGTGCAGCTGTAACCAACGGAAACGCATATATCCAGATCGTAATATGCATCGTGCGGGGCTGCGCGCTGCCCTCGTTGTGTCAAGACTACAGTGACGTCACGTCAACGTTGGGCGTATCGGGTGCTAAAAAGCCGGTCGGGCGTACTTCTTATACATCCTTGGCAAGGCCGGTGATTGGCGGCGACAAGTTACATACGGCGTCGAGTTTTACAACTTCGATTGCGCAACGCGCGCTGGTTTTTTGAAGCAGTTGTATTTTGTATTTTGTTTACTCTAAATTGCAAATTACAAAATACAAACGGTTCGTAAGAAGTTTTTTATGAGGAAGGCTACGGGTGCGGTGACCACCGCCGTCACGAAAACCACCGTGGCATGTCTGCTGGTGCGAATAAAACAACGATTGTGATTGGCCCAGTGGTTCAGGACCTGTAACCGGGAGTTTGTTTGGTTGAAGGTTGAACCAGTACGTCAGTATGGACAATGCGATGATACTCCCATTCCCAAAGCCAAAGCGCGCCTCGAAAAGAGGCACTGTGATAAACGTCAGGGGGGGGGGGATAAATCGCTTATAACCGTTAATCGAAAATAAGCGACTCACGGAGTTCACGGGACAGCAGGTTCACGTCCGCTCATCTTTTTTGTCAACATGGAATGCTTCAAGTTCTCGTGGGATTTATTGCACAAACGTTTTGACAAATTAGCGTGTCGTTAACTTAGTAGAGCATACACGTCGGCAAAGAGCAAGACGAATAAAATGTATTGTTTTCATAGTGGTGAGCAGGGAGTGCAATTATATTTCTTCCGCCGGAGCAGCTACTTCGAATACAAGTTATGAGCTTTTCAGAAGGGTTTCGAGAAAAAGGCATTGCTAATAAAGTTGTACGCGTCTGATCTAACAAAAGGTGGAGGTGCAAAAAATGTGGAAAAACGTACGTTCGAAATCTATGAGAAAAACGGACGGCTTCATGTCATTAGTAAGCAAAAGGGCTTGAGCTATGTCGAAAATATGCGCAAATTTTATCATTCTCACCTTGCTCTTATGTTGCATGCACAGACGACAGCATAGCTTGACCTTGCGCCGAAAATGTGCAAACATCTTTGTAGTGACGAAGCTCCTTACGGCAGTCCCGCAAGGCGACGGTAATAACGTTGAATGTAGCTCTGCAGTATTTTATCTCTAAAACGTGGTGCATTTGTGCTACAACTCACGCGATTGCGACGAATGCGGTTGGGGAGATATGTGTGCATGTGTGCGTGTTTTCAGTGTCGTTTCGGCGATAATGATGCGGTGTCTAACATTCATTTGAAAAGTTGTTAGACGCACGACCAAATGCACCCTCGCATTACGGTTCCATCCCTGAGGTCATGGTCTTGACCTGGCCGCGGTCACTCCCGCGGGCTTGGCCAGACGGACGCGGCGGAGCGTCAGGAGCCGCTGGCTGAAGCTGGGGCAAGGTACGAGTCAGTGTCAGCACCGATTGTTAGGTAAGTTGTTTAGTTCGTCAGCATATGCGGATTCAGCGTCTTGCAACATGTTGGATCTTACTTCAGTCCCACTTCCACTGTGCCCATTCCTTCCACTCACGGCGTTGCGCGTCCAGCGCACCCCGACCGGGCGCACCCCGGGGTTACCGGTGACGGGTGCAGCCGCCTGGGTACGCGGCCGGGGTTGCTGCGACCCCAGCAGACAGACGGGACTGTTTGTTCGCCATCTGCGCCACCGATAGTGGCCGGATCGGCGGGCCTATCTTATCTTATTGACTGGCGCCTCTCTCGCAGTCTCTCGCCGCGCGGCACAGGCCGCTGGGCACTGGTCAGCGACACAAGTGACTGCGACACCGGCCGCGGCGACACCGGCCGTCGGCGACACCGGCCGCGGCGACACCGGCCGTCGGTGACACCGGCCGTCGGCGACACCGGCCGCGGCGACACCGGCCGTCGGTGACACCGGCCGCCGGCGACACCGGCCGTCGGTGACACTGTCAGACCGGCGTCCGCCGTCCGGCGCTCCGTCCAGCGGCACACCGCCGCGCCCGCCCGGTGTCCACACCGTCCACGCCGACCGCCGGGGCCACGCGCGCGCGGCGTCCACGCCGTCTCGGGCGGCCACGCTGTCCGCGCCGGCGGGAGGAGCGGCTGTGGACGGCGGCGGGCGGCGCGCGGCGACGCCTCGGGCCGCGGCCTGAGGCGGTGTGCTGGGCTGACCCGCGCCTGACCCTTCGCGCCGACCGAGGGCCGGCCTCCGCACCGGACCGTCGGCCGCATGCCAGCCTGCTCGGCCGCCATGGACCCCCCGCGGCAGGACATGTATGGCTATTATGACGAGCGGGGGACGGTGGCGGACGCGGCGGCCATGCCGCTCAACGACTTCGGCTTCCTGCCGCTGGAGGAGCACCAGCAGCACCACCCGCACGAGCACCAGCACCAGCAGCCGCCGCACCATCAGCAGCAGCAGCACCACCAACAGTCGCTCATCTATTGGGACCAGCAGCAGCAGCAGCAGATGCACTACACTGAGGAGGATTACAGGTCAGACTTCTACGGTTGTCTGTGAACCCACCAAGAGCGCTACCAGGATTTTCTGAAGCGGAGGGAGGGGGGCGGTCTCAATGAGCACTGATCTCTACTCATAACAGAATTGTATACATCGTTTATGATGTTAAAAAACTCGCATCCAACGGGTGGACCTGGCTGCGCCTCTGGAGCTCACCACCATTTCACGGCGGCACATTAATAGAGGATTATCTCATCGGCATGGCCGTCAGAGAGGACCACCACGGCGTCTGATCTCTCGGAGGCCGGCACGTTGTGAGGATGCGCCCCCGGCGTGTCGGCTCAAACGCGTCCAGCCGGCCGCCGCCGCCCGCCGCCACGCGAGGGACGATTGTGTTGTTGATGGGCGAGTGGCGGAGGGTGCCTGAAAGAAAGAGGGAAGGTGCTGCTCCTGTGCTTCCGTCAGAAAGAATAACGATGACGATATGTATCCGCATGGTATAGCTCTCGGTTAATGCGGCACTGATCTATGTATTTATCGCACATTTTAAGGATGTATCCTCGATGTCCAGACCACGTGCCCACATCTATAATGGAGACACGTAGCGATCAGCTTCTAATGGAACGGCCGGCCAGCGAGGTACCTGCCAATGGACAGTCATACGTTGCCTTCGACTAGAAGGCCACTTTTGGCGAAATCCATACTACATTGATGTCGAAATCTAGTACATCATGCATTTTTTATATCATCAAACTAGATATGGGCTGAATAGCGAAGCTTTACTTCTTGCCTTGATGCGCTTTCAGTGTTGGCACCAACGGCATAAGTGGAGAGCCCCATCACCTGAAGATCCGGATCCTGTCTCGCAAAGACACCTGCGAACATGCATTAAGAGCGAACGCGGGTGCGACGAGGTGTGCGTGTGCGCGTGTGCAATGGTGCGCCTGCGCATTCAAGGAGCAGCATAGCGTCCCAGTCACTGATCCTGAACTATGTAAACAAACGTCGCATCGCGAGCTGGAAATAGGCAGTCTACGTATGTCGAGTGTCTGTGTAAAGGTAGCTTAAGTCTACCTATAGGCTGATCATTAGTCGATAAACATTCCTTCATCACCATGTCAAGGCCCTAGGGGTAAATAACCATAGCACAATAGCTAATATCGAGCAGATGTCAGAAAACTTCCCATCACTGACGTAAAGTTTCTAGGTCACTCTATCAGCCTTTATGTTAGATGATGAACTGTGGCGTGGTCGTGAGGGAAGAACAGCTGACGACGCGTCAGCCATGACCCTTGTCCACCTCCGACTCACTTAATGACGGCTCTGATCATGCAGTCAACTCCGGTTATGGGTAGATTTCCTGACCCTATCAACTTGAAAATCGTTGTTAATATGACTCAGCTTGATATGTTGTCAGCGAACAACTAAAAGCTGGGTGCTTATTACATCCTTCGTCCGTGACACATTGGTGCCAGGGTGTGTGCGTAGCTAGGGTGGCACTCAAAAGCGGATCCAGAGCGGCACCCTGAGAATGGACGGTCCGTGCTGCGTTGGCGCCAGGTTGTGTGCGTAGCTCCGGAGGCACTTAAAAGCGGATCAGGGACGGCAGCCTGAGAAGGGACGGGCCACGCCGGCGTGAGGACAAGGTCCAAAAAGGTGTACTAATTTTAAAATAGTTCAGGAAGTGTTCCTAAACAAACTTGCGCTAGTGCGGGATTGGTTTCCCTCAAAGTTCAGAAATGTTCCATTATTGCCCGACTTGTGCGATCCTGGGGCTGACATGGCCAGGTTTGCCCCTCACCCTTCTGGACCTGCCCTTATCCGCAATCTCTCTTCCACGTGTTAGCTCCATTCTGTCTGTCACATGACGGCTCCAGTCTGTCTGTTATGCGTGGGCTCCAGTCTGTCTATCATAAGTCGGCTTCAGTCTATCTGCTACACGTCAGTCTGTCTGCCACACATCGGTGCCAGTCTGTCTGCTATACGCCGGTCCCATTCTGTCTGCCACACATCGGCTCCAGTCTGTCTGCCACACATCGGCCCCAGTCTCTCTGGTATACGTCGGTCCCAGTCTGTCTGCTATACGTCGGCCCCAGTCTGTCTGCCACACATCGGCTCCAGTCTGTCTGCCACACGCCGGCTCCAGCTGTTCCGCTGCCACCTCCGATGCGCCACCTCATCCTCTCAAACCCCGCTGATCTACGCCGCCCGCTCCCGCGCAGCGCAGTCCGCACACAGCACGCAGCCCTGGTCAGGCCGGCTGGTGACACATCTCATTGCGACCACCTGACCAGCTGGTCACCGCGGTCCCTGCCCAGCCGAGACGAGCCCGGCCTCCAGGTCCCGGCGGTCCGCGACAAAGGGTTGGCCTGGCTCTGTCCGGACGGTAGCAGTCGCCTCCAGCCCCTCCCCCCCCCCCCCCCCCCCCCCCGGAAGGATTACAGGACGGCTGGCGGACGCCGCGGGCGGGGGCGCGCAGAGCACTGAAAGGCCATCGGCGCCTTTGATCGCCGCCGGTGAGGGGCTGGATATGCGGCGGGCGTGGATGAGCGGGCAGGAGGCTGGAGAAGGTCGCGGGCAGCCGGCTGGCTGGGCTTGACAAACGGGGACAAGCCGCGGCCCTGGCGGGGGCGGTCTAGCTCCGAGGTCACGGAGGTGTGCGATTATAACACCCGCTTGCAGTTGCCCACCGGATTTGCTGGCCACCTCTGTCAGTCGAGTTGTGGATGCAGGGAGGCTTGTTTATAATCAGCGCTATGGTAGGACTTACCAAAGCCGTTTGCATGACAGGAGCGTGGCTTCCTACTTGTGGAAAATCCATTTGTTGGCGTATTTTGAGGGCAGGCAAAGGGCCTGTTTCCGGTGCTCCTCCCAAAAGATGAGGTGAGTTTGGAGGAGGTTGGAGGAGCGCTGAGATCTGCTACCAATTGGAGGAGGTATCAGCTGTCTGTGCGCGACTCGGCCAAACTGTTTTGGCGCAATAACATCAAATGTTTATTTGAGTTTGACATATGTGTTCAAAGTCGCATAAACGTGTAACAAATACTAATGTTATGCGTATAATTCCTATGAAAAGAATCCAAATATTGATGAACATGCAACGGTTTACTCACCTGTTTCTAGTACTGTTATGCGACAGCATATGTAGCAAACAATAGCATATGAATGAACTGCGCCACTAATGTCTACCGTAGCCTCCTACAAATTCCTACGAAAATCCCCCTTCATTTCGGAGGAGGCTGGATGAGGTTTGAGAAGATTGGGGGAGCTTGAGGTGAGGAGCGCGATGGGAGCAGACCGATACCTATTTTTCACTGTTCTAACTAACTGAGGTTGCGAAACATCACCACTGGTGTATGGCGTCCGGTGCGAGCGGGGAGCCATGTCAACAGCTTACGGGGAGAAAGATCGAGACCCATCGTTCAGGGTGGAGAGTACCGAGGACGAGCAATTCTTTATTATCAACTTCTGCAAGAAATGCTTCGTCTTTGCTCTCTCCTCACACCATTTGTAAGCAGGCAGGCAAGCAAAGCGTCTGTTCCCGTCGCTCCTCCAAAAAAGATGAGACTAGTTTGGAGGGGCTGGAAAGCGCTGAATCTGCATTAAAGGAATGTTTCACATTTGAAGATATTGAAGCAAGCATCAGATATGATGAAATAAGCTCACTTATAGCTATTCCTATACTTTTTAAGTGGAAAAGAATGCTCCAAACAGCACAATTATCTGTTCAGTAAATATGCTCCTCAATGCGCCACGGTTTGATTACGTCATCGTACCTTACACAAGATTGATTGAGAGCCGACTGACGGCCGTTATATCTGGAAATTGTGCTCACGAAGGCCAGATATGAGCGCGTAGGCAATTATACTTTTCATCTTGATCGCTGCATGGCTTGTGGAATGACAGAATTTTAATGGCACTATTATGACGTCATGAATGCCAAGGTGACTTTGGAATGCTCTCCCCGAATGCACTCTCCATTTCCCATTTTCGCGAGTGTGTAACTAAGAAACTATATGGGCTTAGCTCTTAAGAACGGCAGGGTTGTGTATAGCACCGAAAGCTTTTCAAGATGGATATTTCCGTTCAAATCCCCATATAAATGTGGAACACTCCCTTTAAATCTGCTGCCGCGGGGACGATTTTGAACAACGTATTAACTGTACGCAATTTAACCAAACTGTTTTGGCACACTGGCGACGAATACTATTAGACGTGATGGTTACCGATAAACATATTAAAAATCGTAAATGTTTGCAACAATATTAAGGATGTCAGCATGAATAATCTGTCCGCACAAATTTGCACACCAGTCCTTTGTTTCTGTTAGGTGACAACAAATGGAGCCTCAAAAGCATATCAATGAACTTCACCATTAATGTCTATCACAGCCTACTCCAAAGCCCTCCAAAAACATATTTCATTTTGAAGAAGGTTGGAGGAAATTTGCGGCAAGCTTTGAGGAGCTTGGAGGAGGCTGGAGGAGCCACGGAAACGGTCAGATTAGCTTGGAGGAGCGTTGAGGAAGTAAGAGGAGTTTAGAGAAGCGACAGGAACGGCCTAGCTGCAAACTGCACTCATCAGAATAATCTGAAGCAAACGTCACCCCCATCAGAAAGGTACTGCCAAAACGAGCCTCACTGGACTAGAGACATGCCATCTCATGAAAGATTAGCCCTTCGGTAAACTGAATTATCGGCGTAATTATTGGGCCATGAGTAAGCAGAAGTGATTGCGCGCTTGTGTGTGTGCGTGTGTATATATATATATATATATATATATATAGTGTGTGTGTGTGTATGTGTGTGTGTGTGTGTGTGTGTGTGTGTGTTTGTATGTGTGTGTGTGTGTGTACGTGTGTGTGCGCGCGCGCGTGCGTGTGTGTGTCTGGAGGGGGGGGGGGGGGAGGGCAGATATTCTGACGGCTCCCAGCAATGTCCGGACGGCGAGGAATGTGCCATCTCTGATCGCGTTCGCCCGGCGCCTGACACGTCCGGGGGAGGAATTCTTGCGGCGTCACCGACCGGCGTGGAGG